CAGGAATAAATCTTTGTTGCTTTCTTCTGCTAACAAGCACTCCTTGTTGTCATCTCCAGGGAGAGAGCTGTGCTTTTGTAGCCACTGCATTGAGTTCTTCCATGCTGCTCATACACAGAGGAATTACCCAGTAACTACTTGCACAGTCACCTGTGTACCCACAACAATTCACCAAGTCAAAAACTAGCAGCTGGCATTTTCCAGTATTTATAATCCATATATTGAACTTGACTCTGTTCAGCTTTCACATGTATCTTCCCCTGAGCAATTTTCATTTACAGAAGAGTGGCTCAGAGGCTGCAGAGTTGTATTTTTTGCCTGTAGTAGCCATATCATACAGAAAACAACGTTTCCTTAATTAAAACAAGCCATTTCTGTGTGGTCAAATTGCCCCCAAGCAGAGATTTGAACAGCTGTATGATTATTTTGGTAAGATATCTAAGGTTCTGGAATAGGAGATTGCACTCATCTTTACCATAGTGGGCTGCAGTTTAGTCCATTACAAGAAGAAACCAGGTGGCCTGATAGTGTCACTGTCTGTAGCCTGTCTGCTATAATTGACTTGGAGGAAATGTTTACCATTGCAAAACCTGAAGAGTAGGTACACCATGCAGAACAGGTCACCCACTTGTGAAGTCTTACTTCAGAGCAGTCATTGGGTCAGTTACACAAGTGCAAATTTCTTTGATGTGAACAAGACTGAAGCGGGGTTTTTTGGGTTTGTTTTGTTTGGGTTTTTTTGTTGTTTCTTTCTTGCCTGCAGGCATACTTTCAGACTTTTCTGATAATCTGCTGAAAAGATACGGTATCACAGAGAAGCCACAGAGAGAGAGAGGAGTGAGTCCAGGCTCTCAGATCACTGAACTGGAGCAGAAAAAGCCCAGGAGAAAAGATACACCCGCAATACACATCCCACCCTTGATAATCGGTAAGGAATGCGCTTATGTAAAGGTGCTCCAAAGAGGAAGCAAAACATGCCTGCTGTCAAAGGTATGCTTGGGAGGAGGCTGGAAATAGGTTCTTCTGCCCCCTGTACTTAGCACTACATGCTGAGCTAAACCTATTTGGTCCAAGTATATAGGAGTAGTGGTGGCTCATGGAAAGTCTTTTCAGTATTTCCTACTCACACCTTTGGTATAGAAGGGAAAGGGAGTAAAAGAAAACATATATTATCTCTTGCAAACACGATCCTACTTCTGTGAAAGGCCAACTACTGTCCTGCTTTTCAAATTGAGCACATGCAAATTTTTAGGTCACAAGCACTAACAAGCATTGCCTCAAATAACCTGGAGTAAAGCTGTCCTGATTAACCCCCTCTTACTACCCAGTTCCTAACATGCACTGAGGAAACCAAGCTGTGATGAGCTTCTCGTTAATAGTGCCATAAAGACAGTTCTGTGCTTCTGGCATAACATGCAGTGCAACAGCTAATTTGCTTGGTGACAATATGAAGTCAGCCAGCCAAGTTTTGGTCCTAAGACCCTTTGTTGGTTGTGTTTCCCACACAGAAAAGCCTCCATTCATCAGTATTTATGAAGGTCTTTGAAGATGTAAAGCCCTGCATAAATGTTGATTATCAGTGCTAGATAGGGAGGCAGGAACTTGTGCAAGTGTTCATGCCATGCACCAGCCCTTTCCAGATCACAGGATGGAGCAAAATATGAATGAACTAATGAACAAAACAAAAACAACAAAGAAAGAAACAAACCTCAATCCAAAATGAACATCAAAACTGGAATACACAAGAGTGTTCCCTTTGGAATCTCTTATAAGAACCAGTTCTGCTGTGGGCTGGTTCTGCTGAGCCATGAGACATGCTAAGTGAAGAGGTCCTGAGACAGATACTTTGGCACTACATGAATACATAACAGCTCAGGACATCAAGCACCTGATCTTCAGGTACATTTTGAATGGAATTTCCCATACACCTACTAATTATAAATTGTGCAAACGGCTTCATCAATCCAAATAGACACCTGTATTCTCCTTTCTTTGTGAATTTAAGCCTTCATAACTGACTTAAACACGTGTAAAAATTTTGTTCACTTAATTAGTATGAGGTGTCCAAAAGCGGAAAGGAGTATGACTAAGTTTGCAGGATCATGACAGTGAGTGAGTACCAGTGCCTTTCATACTGATCTGCCTAAGGAAAATACATTTCTTATTTGTTCATTGATCTCAAGCATCCCAATGCCTTGAGGCATCAGAGCTGCTGTGCATGAGCCATTGGAAATCTGGTTCAATCATTTGCTGGGGGAAATGAAATTTATCACATAACTTCAGAGACCAACTGCAAATGTGTCACTTTCAAATAATCAATAAACACTAATAGTGAACTGCACATACAACTGTTGGTTGCAGTTACCCAGCAAATTACCTGGAATTCCACATGGCAAATAAATAAGGTGGGAAAAAGTCTTTTACGGATTGATTGAGAAACAGAAGCAGAAGCAAAATTTATCAAAATATTTGTAAATAATATTAGCCCTCTGTGTTATACTTGAAGCCCACCCTTCCTGCAGACCTTGGAGGAGAGATGAGACATTATTTTGGTCAGTTCAAAAACACCCCCAAGAAAAGTTGCACCTCTGAAGATGCTGTATGTCCTTTGCACTTCAGGGTATATGCAGAGAAAAGGAATCTGGAAGTGAAACAAACATATTTGATAAAAATCAAAGACAAAATATTTGAGAGTGAACCTGAGAGTCTTGACTCTTGCTTGGTTTAAATGTGCTTGTCAGCTAAGAGGATGCAGCTAAGGTGAATTACTTCCTTGACCTGTCTCAACAACTCTCTGGTTGGATTAGCATCTAGTCACTTAGTACTTCATGTTTCTACCCTAGCCCAAGGTAGGCACTTAAGAGGGAAATGAGAATCATTGTAAGGATCTTCAAATCCTGCTTCCCATGAAGACTTTCTCTCGAACCTTTAATAATTTTCAAAGTGAAAAGAAGCTAATACAAGTTACATGATAACAGAAACATGTTATAATCCCCAAATGACTTGGTAATAAAAAAAAAACAACTAACAAGAAAAGTAGAGCAACCTTCAAATACATGACAAAATTCAAATTGTGTATATTTGCTGTTGGGAAAATGGTAGGAATTAATGCATTTTTCAGTTTTTTTCAATTATACCTCCAATAGCACTTTCTTGCCTACTGCTGAAGCCACCTTCCAGCATGTAGCACAGATTCAAAGCAGCCTGCTTGATGCTGCCTCTCTCTGCAAACACCTTCTCCAGATCCTGTGTTCTGGGTGCATTTTCTAGCGACTGACTGCCTGTGGCAGACTCTGTCTGCACCAGGGGCAAAGTGGCCTCCGTGTTTGAATGCCTCAATTGCATTCCACCCTACCCCAAGAACTCACACTTCCTTTTCAAGATCCACGCCAACATAGAGAGTTCTGCTGGTTGAAATTTGCCATCAGTGGCTCCATGACTTGCTATGAAAAAGTGGCTCATTGTGGCTGAGGGCTGGTCCAATGTTTACTACTTGTTTACTTTCAGGGTTATCCCATCAGGTAGCAGACAGGGCGCAAACAAACAGAGCTCTTGCGGAACTGCTGTGCAAAATAGAGCCTGAATTATAGACTCAGAGACCTGAGAAACCCTGGTGGGGCTGCGTGTGCTAAATAAATACAGACAAGCCTTTCTGTCCCTGTCTCCCTGCTAGTGGCCTTGCTGCAGTAAGCAGCACACTTGGTGCCACATGTATCCCTTGCGACCTACTAATGAGGATTGTCCCTGTTTCTAACATTTCCCCTTCATATCCCTCCCAAGCACCACTTCCAGATGCCAATTCGAAACACTCCACTTAATTATTTGTAGTAGCAGAGCTTAATTGCTAGATTATCTTTTTAAGCAGCTGTCCACACAAACAGCTTTGTTGTAAATGCAAATAAAAATGGGCAGCTGTGTTATCTCTCTCCATTTTGACCAGCTGGTTATGGACACTCTAGGACAGTCCCTCTCCTTGGGTGGCCAGAGAGATATTCTATCACAAATACAAGCAATCAAACAGGCAATACAAAGTGATGATGTATCTACTGGACAGCACATGATCCAAGTGAGAAACAGAATCATTTTTACACCTTGCAAACACCCAAGGGGGCTGCTAAATGAGAATCTGAATGTTACCATCTGCTGGAACCCATGGCTACCTGTTGTCTGCAAGAAACTAAAGAAATCAGTCCTTAGCCTGGGCATCAGAAAACCCTCCCCTACAAGGTTTGACTTCTAAATGTCGTCAACCTTTGAACTCCAACTGAAAAGGCACAAATAACATTGATCCATATGTGTACAAATGGGCCATAAGCAGAGGTCTTCTCTGGTAGCCAGCCAACTAAGTCAGCTCTGTAGTCAGCCAAGACCTTGGCTTTCTGAAGGAATTAGATCAGAAGGCAAAATACAATCACGAATCTAATTTGTTGGGTTTTTTCTCTCACATGACAGTAAATTATTGGAATCTGATACAAAGCCAAAAGTCAGCTCTGGGACACTCTTGTCATCTCCACTTAGCAATACATTCAGCTAACTGAAGGGTTTCTGAGAGCTCTTCAGGCCCATGGGTTTGAGCAAGAATGTAAATACCTATGTAAATATGGGAACATGGTTCCTGAAATGTGGCTGCTCCTTAATCAGATCAGAGATAACTAATAAAATCACAGTATCAAACCCTCATACTCTTTCATGCCTCAGAAAACTAGTAAAAGTAACTCCTTTAGAATAACATCATCTTTCCAGTGAAAAATCTCTGGGTTACGCAGGAGAAGTACAGGTTTAATGTCACCTCTTGCCCTTTTCCAGTGTGAATGCAGCAGTCCAGTACTCTTCCAACTGCAGCTGCATAGGCAGGCAACTGGAACTGGTGCCATCTTGGCGGGTTTCTGGTTTACAACCCAGAAGTTGTTTAGATGTAGGTGGCACCTGACAAATGGTTGATGCAAGCCAACTTCTTCTGCCTAAGTTTGAACTTCCTAACAGAAGCCTCCATGTCTCTGTGAGCCTTTGAAGTCCTAGTCTCTAGCTAAAAATTGCAAGTAGTTCACAAGTAGTTCAAGTTCCTTGGGAAAATACAGCTACATGGAATGTTATGCAGCTTTCTTTGGTCAGATCCCTTGCCAGGTACTAACAGAAGAACCTACCAGTTCTTAAAAGAGATCTATAGGATGAGCTGCATTTTATAATACACACAGCTAGGGAAACAGAGACAGGGAGGCAAAGTGATTGACTCAAACAGTAAACAGAAAAAGAATGACTTACAGATGTTCCCAGATTCCAACATCCTGCTCACTCCTTTAAACCCACAATTTCCAAACCACACTCAGTAAAACATACTTTCTTCACCAGTGATCAGTGGCATTGTAACAAAGACAAAGATGGTTTCCTTTTGGTATAGAAATAATTCCAGCTAAAACATCCCAATGATATCTTCCACTGCTTTTCACTAAAAGGCTGACTTTAAAGGCACAAAGTTAGTCCTGGAAGTTGCTGGTGGTCTGTGATCTGCAAAGTGAATAACCTTCTAGGCTAAAACCTTCTCTGGGCTTTGAATCCTGAACTCAACTGCAAACTTTTGAAGTTCACAAGTCACCATTTGTTGATAATGATGCATCATCTTTCTATGGATTGTGTCAAGCATCTGGTGTGTGCCACTGATGTGAGTCCAGCTGAGAGCTGGGGATCTCCACTTTGTTGCTACCTTCCAGCTGTCTCTAGCATCTGCTCGAAAAAGTCTAGTTTATGGGCTATAACCAGGCCATCAGAATTCCATAAACATACTTTTCCTTCATCACTTCATAATTCAAATAAGAGAGTGGAGTACAGCTTAATTTAGCTTACATTCCTGATGTCGTCTTCCTGAGTTTACCCCCCAAACAAATAGGTTAGCTCTCATCAAATGAGCCCTTGTATCTTCACATTTTAAGCATATTTTAGTTGTTTTCCTCATTCCTCAAATGCTCCATGAAGAAAGAAAAACCACTAGAACAAAACCCCACCTTCCTCTAAAAAACCCACAAACCAAACCACAAAGACAACATAAAAACCAATTTGTCTGTATTTGCTTAAGTTCTATATATGAATAGAAATCTGGGTGAGGAACATTTGCATCCATCTCCATAAAATGGCATAAGTCTTTGCAGTTAACAATGCTGGTTACCTGACTGTTGCTTGGACAAATTAAGTCCTTTGTGTTTCAAAATAATATTCATTCATGCATTTCAGTTTATCTCATGGTCCCACTGAAACCAGCTAGTTCACAAGAACTGCATATAAATGAAGTAGGAGTTAACTTAAACGTAGGGCAGTATAGGTTAATATTTTCATTAATTCATCACCTCTTGAAAAGACTCCAAAGTTGAAGAAAATCTTCCTGTGTGGTATTGCTCTATTTTTAGAGCTAGTCAAGACTGAAAGCTTTCTCTGTGACAGGGCTTTTGATGCAGAAAGAAGCAAAACAAGTTGGTTTGACAGAACAACTCAGCTGGTCAGCACAGACTGAGAGCAAACAGCAGGAGACCAAATTAGGGAAAGGTTTCATTGGTCTTGACAAAATGGTAACCCTCATCCTGTTTTTAGACTGTGTTAACCTCCACATGAAGGAATGTGGGCATATCTTGCAGGTCACTTGCTTTTTTTTTCTGGGAATGAGCAAAACTGACACAATCTGTTAAAACAGGGACCAAGAACTTTTTCCATCTAACACATTGAGCTCACTTCACTCAATTTAATTTTTAATAAAGACTGCAGCTACAGTAAATGTGACATCTTAATATCACATAAAAGCCTCAAGATCCATAGGATTAGACTTACTGTTTTATATATAAGAGAGAGCAAGAGACAGAGAGACAGAGAAGGAAGGAATAGAGGCAGACACTCATGGAAGGTATGATCCACAACTGATCTACCTAATAGAGAAGGACTTAAGAAGAAGCAGACACATGTAGCATACATACAGATGACAAAGAGGTTTATGGGATCCCCACGGTGTGTTTGAACTGTGAAATCAGATTCCTTTCAATATCATGTCATATTGTTCTTCGGTGCTCTCATGATAGAGATGAAGCTTGATTTTTCTTCAGGATGGCTTCAAAGCTGGTTAAGATCCTAAACCTCAGGAACCTGTATACTGGTTCAAAGTCTTTGTAACATACCTGAGTGCTTTAACATTGATCGTAATCTGGTCTCTTTTGCAATTTATTGATACTATAAAACTTCAGCAAGGGTGGCATTTGGCATGTGGGTGTTCTAATATTTGTCTCTTGGCTGCTGCATTTGCAGAACTTAAGCAATATCACTGTATACATACAGAAAACATGCATGCATACACATGTTCACATAAACTGGCTCAGTTAAAAAGATTAATCACAATATTTATTTCATCATGCAAGCTCTTCCCCTTTTTTAGCTTCCCAAACTGTTTGAATTAACAGATTCCCAGATGAAACTTCAGCATCTCTTTTCACAAGTACCAGAAATATGCTGGATTGAAGAGTGCCTGGTAAATTCAGCTAAAAATGTAATGATCCAATTCTACTTCACTAGGTATCAGGAGGCTGATGTGCCAAAAATAAATGAGTAACTCCCATGATGTTGACCAAGAAATCAGAGAGGATTGAAAGGTTCTTCTTATCCTGATGTTTTCTAAAGAAGTAATCTTTTTTCTCTCTTTCTGTTTTTAAGGCACTAAGCTGCTTACAGAAGAAAAGCAAACAGTGATTATGGAAGATGAAGAAAAGGATGGAGACACAATCCCCAGTTAAGATTACAGTGATATTTCCCATAATGCAGTGTAAATAATTCTGGGTCATTCAAAGTGGCAGCACATAGAACAAACAGTCCTTTCATTTTTATAAATAATAATTTTCTCAAGCATGCACTTGAATTTAAATTATCTTCAAGTGCTTATCTCCATCTCATGAAATCCCAGCAAACATCATAGGAGATGATGGCAGAAATTTCACTTACACATGGGGCTGGAAGGATTCTCTTGGTTTACTAAAAGCAGCTTTCCAGGATTTTTGTCAATGAGGAATCTGCCTCAGGTCAGATCTAGGTTTGTGCAGCATGATGATAAGGATTAACACTAAGAACACCACCAATCCATGTACCTAGCACTAGATACAAGAGCAGTTGGTAGCACAGGGACATAGAACATCCACCAATGATTTAAACTGTATTTTTCTCCTGACAACTCACCGCATCATCCATCTTTCCTCTGCTGGAACAAGATTGACCAGAGTGAAAATTCCCATGTGCAGAGCTGATGGGATAGATGGAGAGAGTGGGAGGGCAGGAATCAACTCTAGAGTCCCTGAAATGCAAAGCAAACAATTCCTCTGCCTGTGTCTGCTCATCTTGTATTTGTGAGGAGAAAAAGGTAGATTTACTGTAGTATGAAAACTTACAGCTAAAGGGCTGTCAACATTGGCACATCACACAGGACAAAGGGCAGAGCTCTCAGAAGAGAAGCATATGAAAAGTGCAGCACCTGCCTGTTACACCAGGAAAATATATTAATTTTTTTCTGTCTTTCAAAGGTTTTATTCCTGGGTTGGTGAAAGATAAACTAGTTGGATTGATCTTTTTACTCCATGTTTTTTTTTCTTTTGACACCTGCTTTTTAAACTGAGTCCTAGGTTGTCAGTTGGGAGGGTCTGAAAAGTTTAAAAATCACAGCAGGAGAGTAAAAAATGAGCAAAAGGAATAGTGCTACTCAATGGCATGTGCTTACTGCAAGGTGGAAGCACCACACTTTTTTTTTTTTAATAGGTTACCTCATTGGTTCAGTCAAGAAATGTTTTCACAGCCAGCTTACAGCCTTCAGCATTTGTACAAACAGAGACGGGTACTTGTAGAATATTATACAAAATAGGTAGAACTGGGTAGTTTTGTGCTTACCTTAATAGCTCTGGGCATTAGATGGAGCAGCACTGCCAGCTGGACCCTTAGGAACCTCAGCAGAGAGGTTAAGGATTATCTAGCCTGGCAGACTGAATTTAGCTATCTTTTTAACACTCTTAGGCAGGCAGCTGAGGAGCACACTAGTTTGGACTTAATTTGCCACAGAGACTGACCCAACATCTTTCATGAGAACGCAGTCCATTCGCAAATATTCAGCTTCAAGATGTACTCAGCAAGCTTATAATAAATAATCATGTATTAAAGTATGCAAGAAGCCAGCTATATTATTAATGGGATGCCTGATACTTAGGAGGTGTACTTTTTTTATTCTGTTAATCTATCAGAGAGACAAGGGAGTACTTAAAATGTAATCAATCAGTAGTTCCTATAACAACATTCATGTAAGGCACACAGTAAAGTATGTCACTGCAACTATGTGGCAAGGAATATGTGTGATTCGAGTCCAGCTTTACCAGTGAAGCTGCTCAGTGTTTTCAGTGCACAACACAGCAAGAGTGTGTAGTCCTGAAAAGGTTCAAATGAACATCAGCAACGGATTAGCTGTGAAAATGCACATGTTTAAACATGAAGGTCCTTAACAACACATGGCAGTAGCACAGATAAGATGTGACTGACTTCATTACTCTGAAGATTATTTGTTTCCAAGACTGGGGAAGCTTAATTAATTAAAAAAAAAAAAAAAAAGAAAAAAAAAAGAAAAAAAAAAAAGGAAAAAGAAAAAGGAGCACATTTTAAGCCCAACACTATGTGTTTTTCTCCAAAGAGGAGTTACAGTCCCAGTGACATCTGTGACAGCACCACAGCCTAATTTACCATCCCTGTATAGATGGGACTTGAATCCCAGCCATAAAAATGCCATAACAAACATAATTTGCTGCAGTTCATTCAAAATTGCATATTCATAGCCTGGTAGGAAAAACTGCTAAAAAGTAATTTTTCACTCGATCAATTAAGTAAAAATGAGCTTTTCCAATGTTCCTGGGCAGCAGTGCAATGAATCGTTTCTCAGAATGAATGAATCTTTCACCTGCCTCATTGCACTCAGTGAGCATTAAAAGATACTTTATTTGGAAAGAAGACAGGATTTTTTCCAAATCAGACAAATACTGCCCCTTTCCCCCAAAACAAAGCCTTTAGGTGTTGCAGAATCGTGTGTGGACTGTACAGTGGTGTGAATGTGGTTTATTGTGTTTAATCATTGTCCTTCAGGCTCTGAACTCTTCCTTTAAAACCAGATAGTACTGGAACTGCACAAATTGCTTTCCTAGGCAAATGCCTGGATTTGGTGTGTTCTGGGGCAGAAATGCTTTTGTACCCAGTGTCTCCAAAAGCTCCCCATGGGCATTACAGAAAAAATGTAAGGAAATGGAAAGCACAGAAAGCACAGAACCAGGCTAAGTCCTTTGGTAGGACTGGGGTGCTCCAGACTGAAGTCACTTACGTTGTCTGCACAGAGGCACTGACTGCTTTAGGGCCTTAGGAGCTGTCTTGCATTCAGATATGTAGCTGGAGCTGCATCTCACTCCAGAAGTCTGCACTGGGCAGAACAACCAGTCCGAGGTCTCAGGTGGGATTAAGTGTTTCAGTCAGTGAATAAAAGACTGATTACGGTTGGGGACATTGTTAATAGCAAATATTTTTTGAGTGAATTCTCAATTAACCTCTACCTAGGAACTATGGGGTAAGTCTCCATTTACAATAGGATTGGGACAAGGGGATTTAATGGCCTTGCACTTCAGCAACTTCAAACTAAGGATTGCAAAAAGCCCATCACCCATCTGAAGGGGATGTAATGAGCAGTTTGTAGTGCTAAACATGAGGTCCACAGGTTAAGTGAGTTAGATTCGTGGTTGGACTCAACGATCTTAAAGAAAAGATCCAGTGAAAACCATTCTAAGATTCTCTTCTATGATTACATTTTGTACACATAACCTTACAGTATTCTTGTATGCAGAGAGATTACTCAGCAATTGCATCTACGAGCCAAAATCAAAAGTGCACATCAGTGAAGCATATTAGAAATTTTGGCTTCTCATTTGTATTTAGCTAAGTTAATAAACATGTTTTTGCATTCCTTACATCCCATACAGTAAAATCATAATCATAATACCAGTATTCTGGAAAGTTATTTCTACAAGCAGAAAGAGTGAACATTAGAAGCCAGTCTCTACTCCACTATACTGGCTCCTGGTCCTGCAGGAGGAATCCTTGTTGGTCTGTCAGACCCAGGAGCTGTGAAGGGAAGCTTAATTCATCATTTATACCCAACATCCTGAAGAATCCTGAAAAGACACAGACTGGACAGATGGACAAGCAGCAGCAAAATTAGAAAGCACATTCCAGAAATAAAAGAATGGTTTTTGATGGACAATTTGTGCTTATTCTTACTGGTGCGATGATCCTGTAAAATGCAAGCTGTGTATTTAGAACAGTAAGACACATTGCCGTAAGCTTCAGATTTTTCCAAGCTGTCAGGTCTTTTCCAACCTCCAAAGTAGGTTCTAGGCCCCCGCGTGGTCTTAGGGTCCGAGACAGAGTTACATCTATCCCAGGTTTGTTTCTCTGTATTCTGTTTGGTCTGGAGAGAGAACGTTTAAAGGGATCTTATCAATGTATAGAAATCTGTTACGGGAGGGAATAAAGAAGAGGGAGCCAGATTCTTTCCAGTGATACCCACTGACAGGACAAGAGGCAGTGAGCACAAACTGAAATACATAGAAGTAAGAAAACTTGTTTTTACTACTCCACACTGGCACAGATAGCCCAGAGAGGTTGTGGAGTCTCCATCCTTGGAAATTTTCAAAACCAGACTGGACACAGCCTTAAGTCACCTGCTCCACTGGACCCTATTTCAACTGATAAACACCAGAGCTGCCATCCAGCCTCAGCAATTCTGTGAGTATAACCCAGGATCCTTACCAAGGGAGCTGCTCAGTGATGTTTAGCAGGTGTCTGAGACACCAGGAGAAAAGTTTGGGCTAAAGGAAGGAGTACATGCAAAATGATAGTGAGGGATCAACCAGAAGGAGCTGGGCTGGTCAGATACCTGAGAAACAGAAGTGAACAGCAGGCCTCAAGAAGAAGGAGAAAGGAGGTGGGGACATCGCTGATCCAGAACCAAAATTGCTTTATGAACGCAACTGTCTACCTCATGGCTCAAAGAACTGGAAAGGCCCATTTAAGCTGCTGAGTCACAGCTCCTCCTCCCTTCTCCTTCCTCCTCCATCTCTGGTCTGGGTGCTGCAATTGCCCTTGAGGACACTGGGGTCAATCTTCCTTTCCAATCCCTGTTTGTGTAGATATAGAAATACACAAAATATCAAGAATGAATACTCAAGAGTCTAAGCTTCATTTACTATGGATTTCAACATTCAGATTTGTAATTCAGATTAAAAAAAACAAAAAACAAACAACAACAACAACAACAAAACAAACAACAACAAAGAAAATCTCTCTCAAGAAACAGACTACCAAACTTTCTTGCCATAGCAAAGTGATCCAGTGATTAGAGCAAAGACTTGGTTCACAAATGGACTAAACAGAAAAAAGGCTGTATTTGAAAATGTTGATTTGCAACCAGCAATTCATAATAAGTCTAAATGGCATCATAAGTCTGACATCATAAGACTTTCCAAGAGGGATAAATTACTCAGACTTGTTTCTATGCTGGCAGCAAGTGGTAATCTCAGAAATCATCAATTCAGAAAAAGGTCAAGTACATCGGAAAGCCAGAGCCCCAGTGCTACACAGACCCCAAATAACACAGATTTCATATTTGAACTTCACTTGCAAAATTTCCCTTTGGTGTACACTAGATGTCAGGGTTGGACTGAAAGGATGCGCCCATCCTCTCCATCACACAGCTCTGTGCATCAGGCTGGATGCCATCAGCACATTTTGTTTTGCTTAGGAATTATTTCTGTGAAGACTCTA